TTTGTGCATATGAGTACTGCACTACAGTATATGTGTTTATTATTGTAAATTGCAAGATTGCAATAATTGCCAGACTGCAATTTATCGCCAGATTGAAATGTGCGCCTGTGTACGAAATAACCAAACTTTGGAAATTGCCATTTGATTTGTAATTATGCTATTGCAACAACACTGTGCGCGGAAAATGCTTATATTTGATTTTAATACGTACATTGTAATGTTTAATTATGTAATGTTTAATTATGTGTAATTATGTTTACTTGGGTGTTTTAATTATGTTGATGTAATGTTTAATTATGAGTATAATGAAATTTGCGTAATGTGTTTTTAATGCGCAATGTATGTAACATGTTTATATCTCTGTTACTTATGTGCAATGGGTATAGTATTTTATGTGTCGGTGTATAGTGTTTTGTATATTAAGCACACGCGTTTTGCGCATCTGTGTATTGTTGCGATTTGTATCAATTGTGCATGAGTCTTGCTTTACATATGCTTATCACAGCATATTGTATTTTATGTGTATGTCTAATACGTATCGCATCATATGTATACCCTGTACAAGTACTTGCTTCTATGGCGGCATTGCTCGTACACTACTATTGCTGCTGTACTGCGCGCGTAAATGCTAATGCATTAATTATTACTTATGCGTCATGCATATCATTTCCTGCGTTTTGTACCTTTTGTATCTTTTGTGCTTATGAGTATTGCATTACATTTGCTTATTATTGCACTTTATATCATTGTATATTGCATTACTTCTATTGCACATCGTATTACCTCTATGGCTTCGCACTGATTGTACACTATTATTGCTACTGCACTGTGCGCGTAATATGCTAATATCTCCGATTATTACATATGTGTCCTGCGTAAAGTGTGTTCTGTGTATTTGTGTACTGCGTTATGTAAATTATATGCCTATGAGTTCTGCACTATATGTGATTATTACTGTATTACTGTATATTATATTACCTCTGCTGCATATTGCATTGCATCCTGTGTCCTACGTACTGCATCCCATGTATCTGTGTATTGCGTCTGGTATCAATTGTGCATATGAGTACTGCATAATATGTGTTTATTATTGCACTTTGTATTATTGTATATTGTACTACCTCTATTGCATATTGTATTACCTCTACAGCCGCATTGATTGTACACTACTATCGCTACTGCACTGCGCGCGTTAACATGCTAATATCTCAGATTATCACTCATGTGTCCTGCGTAATGCGTACTGTGTACATGCGTTACATATCTTCTGAGCATGTGAGTATTGCATTATATGCGTTTATTATTGCATATTGTATTGTGTAGTGTATTGTATTAAGCGTTTAGGTGTTTTTGTGTACCTTCTCAAGTGTCTTTAAGTGTTTATGTGTCTTTACGTGTCTGAAGCGTCTTAGGTGTTTAAATGTTATAGGTGTTTTTTGTGTTCATGTGTTCTTTTTAATGTGTACATTTCATGTGTGTTTATGCTTTGTTTAATGTACAAACAAGACTGCCTCACCCACAAATCAAATTTCAATGTAGCACAATGTCGCCCTTGTATGGCCATGTTTGATCTGAATGGAATATCAATAAGCTCCCGGTGCGGCATTGTGCAGCTCCAGGGAGTTGTTGCATCTGGATAGTGGAAGGCGTGGGACATATATATGCCTGCTTACCCCTGTTAAACCAGGCGTCTCCGTCCTCCGTCACCTGTCACCTGTAACTCGAGAAATAAAACAATCTCGTTGTTAGGCGACGTGTGCAACACGTTATTTTAATTTTTGCGATAAATGCCTATCGACGTAATGTTCACGTCGCTCGCAGTTTGAGACAAAAGCATCTCGACGTGCGTGGCACGTCTTTTTAGCGCAAGTGGTTAAAGTTAGTGGATGATTCATTTTTATTTTTCATACAAATATGCCGTTATAATACTATAGTCATCTATGATAGCGAGAAAATATTTACTTCCACCTTCAGACAGAACTGAAAGCAGACCACAAATGTCTAAATAGACCACCTGCAATGGTTTACTAGATTTTTTTGAACAGATTTAAAAGGTATTCTACTAGGTTTGGCAATAATGCAAGGTTCACACTTCTTTGTTTTTTTTAGTCCAAAGGGATTTGAATCCCGAAGGACTATTAGTTTCGTTTTGGCATTTTGCGTCGGACGGATAAATGTCGGTTCACTTTTCCAACTGTTGCCATAAAATGTTAGAGTCCTGCATTATATTTGAAGAAATTAAATAGTGAAAAATCTGCATAAATGTATGTATATTTCTCGTATTGTCATAAAATAACGGTACATAGACTCATCGAATTTTGAATAACGTAATCCTCCAACGAATATGAGCATGTGGAAGACCAAATTTGAAATTTGAAATTTGTTTTATGATCGATTTCCTATTTTTAAAACTTTGACGAATTTTTGGTTAACAAACTCAAGGATTTCAAAGCGAGCAATGGCAACGTTGTGCCGAAAAAACATTTTTATCTCCAGCGCGTGAGTCTCTGTATCGGAAATTCTAAAGATATGCTCGTTTTAAAACTATTTTGCGATATTGCTGTTGCAACTGGATCTTATGGTTTTAAGTGCGAGGAACATGATATTTAATAAAGAAAGGTAACACACAAAATGTTAAAAAAACGCCTCTTTGAACGTAATTAAAATCTGAAACATTTCAGATTTTTTTTTTTTTTTTTTTCGATTTCAGGCAACCTTTAAATGCTTTGATTTTTACTATTGTTCCGAATGTAATCAAAATTTTTAGATGGCAAATCTTCGATGCCTTAACTCGCATCGCATCATCTTTAATTTCCCAGTTTCTTATTGTAAACAGCTTCCTTTTTATCTATTACATACTTAAGTGATTTCTAATGATAAAGTCCCTACTATTTCACGTAGCGTAATCTATCCAATTATTAAAATTATTTACACGTTTTACCATTTGAAAGTACAAAATGGGCACTTACTTGCCTCTTCTATCATTTCTCCCGATAGTAAATTTCTTCATACATTTGGATTAGACAACATATTTTCTGATTTTTTTCCCCCCCAATTTATTCAACTACCTACTTTTGATGCAAACTTGATAGTATGTTTTTCTAATTTTTTACTTTTGAAATTTCCTTCAGCTAGGGACATGCATATATCATTCATTTCTTCAAAATTTATTCTTAAATTTCTCTTATTTTAGAAATGTGTTGTAGCTGTTATATCTATGACCCAATTAAATTTATCTCTGTTACCACCTTTATTTGTAGTTAGCACATAATTTTCTACTAACATTAATTCTTTATCTTAACTATCCCTTTTGATTATCAGGTTCAAATTTCTGGTTTTTATATAAATGTTCTTTATACTGCGCAGTTAATTGTCCAGGTTTATGACATCTGTGACAAGGTTCTATATTTGTGTTTCCTTTATTTTTCTTAAATTTTGTTTTACTTTCAGTGTGATTTTCTCCTGCACTTTTGCTAATGGTATTAAATATTCTTAGCATGCTGTCTTCTTAAATTGGCATGTACCCGCTGAAGTCGACTTTTTCCCTTATCAGCAGATCAGCGATTTTTTCCGATGTAAAATCCGTGTCCTTCCACCTATAAATTGGCTATATTGTCGTGGAGTATTCCTGAGACAAACATCGGATTGTCTGAAATCTTTAAAAAAGATTTGCTAAGTTGCGTCCAGATTCAGCCATCTTGTTTGCAGTCATTTTTATCTTCACAATTAATAACCCCATTTCTTCATCCGTGCGTACCTAATGCTGCCCAGTTACTGGACTTCTCTTGCTCTTGTTTTTGGTTCAAGCTGCCTCTGTAGAACCTCCCCTGCTACTTTATTACTTGAACATTCTTGTATCAATGGCCTAAACTCCGATTTAATTCCTTAGCATTATGTAGTTAAAGGTGTATTTCTCTCAACATGAAATGCTACTTTTCACACTTAGTTGACTTTTATCAAATAATTCTTCCTTACCTTCTACGAAGCTCCAGCAATTTCTATCCAGTAACAGCATCTTTTTGTCAACTTTCCATCTATCCCAGTTGTCATGATTTAACAGTTCAAACCCTTCTATTAGCAATGACATCTTCAGCTGTATATAAGCACGACACTTTGAAACAGCATCTAAAGCATGTCAAACTTCTGTTTTCTCATTTGTTATAGAAGGCAGTCTCCTTCACTTACACTCCTTTAACGCTGAGTGTCTAAGCCTATACTCTATCAGTGGGGGAGGGAAGAAATGCATTCAAAAGCATTCTTTTCTTTATGTAGAAATAAGAGCACAGAAACATGACTAAAACAAAAACTAATATTTATTTTACTCTTAAAGCAGACACGGAGCAGCCTTTCAGATAAAAAGTAAAGTGAAAACAAAAGTATATGGGGAGTTCACCGACTTCATACTGCCGATTGGTCTTTGAAAAATAGAAATGATGTGGAAGCAATTAGGTTGCCCACCCATTTTCTGCACATTGAGCTGTAATTACCATTCAGGAAGCCACACGAGGGCAGACGCATGGCTAGAGGGGTGGAAGACTTCTCATATCTTATAAAATTAAATTATCAGCTCTTCTAATCTAAGCTTTTAAACAGAAACACAGCACATTTGTACATAATCATCCTGTCCAGAAGAGAAAGTCCCTTTTTTATATTCTTACATATAGGTATATACACCCAGTGAATTACAAGGTAACCAAACATTTTCTTGCCGTCTCTGATATGACATTGGAAGAGTGAATCCCAACTTAAAAATATTCGCCAAACCTGGCTATGAAGTGGTTAGTATGAGAGTCCGGACATTGTTCAAGAGTATAAAAGCGCGTTGCATCGGTACTTCAAACATAACTCACACAGCGACTAATTGAAATGGACGCGTCAAAGGCGCTCGTTCGGAGTTGTTTGCTGTATGATTTTAAAGTGGGCCTGTCAGCAGCAGAATCAAGTAGCCGAATTTGCTAGGCCTTTGGGGATGATGCCGTTAACGAACGAACCGCTAGGCAATGATTCCACATGTTCAGGTCAGGGGATATATATCTCATAGTAATGCACCACGCAACGGTCGGCCACAAGCGCTGGACGACAAGGCCCTGAAAGCAGCCATTAAGAGTGACAGTAGCCAAACATATGGTAAGCTTGCTACACACTTTCAGGTATCTGATGGAACGATCAGACTCCATTTGCGCCGCATAGGAAAGGCATACAAGCTGAGCAAATGGGTACCCTACTCACTGTCGAATGCAAACAAGCAACAGCGTGTCGCAGCCTGTTTGCCATTGCTTACTCGGCACCGCAATACATCCATTTTTGATCGAGTACTCACCAGCGATGAAAAGTGGGTCCAGTATGACACACCAGGCGTTCCAGACATTGGTTTTCACCACGGGACCCTGTGCCATACTGCGGACTTTCTCCACCCACACAAAGATCATGCCTGTATCTGGTGGATAGTCGCAACTGTTGCACCATGAGCTCCGTGCCTGTGGGCCAAACCATCACGGCAGGCCTGTACTCGCAGCAGTTGTACCGTGGGCATCGGGCACTGGTGTATAAAGAGCCAGAATTTGTCAATTGTAAGGGTGTACTCCTCCTCCATGACAATGCGAGCCCGCATGTGGGTCCAGAGGCCAGGGATACCACCCACTGACTGGGCTGGGATACACTACCCCATCCACCTTACTCCCCAGACCTCGTGCCTACATACTACCAGCTTCTCCATTCCCTCGACAACCATCTTCGTGGGAAATCCTTCAACAACCGGCCAGACCTCGAAAAGGTCTTCACAGACTTTGCGTCCAAGACTACTGAGTTTTACAGCGATGGCATCGCACAGCTAGCCACTCGTTGGCAAAAGGCGCTGAATGCCGATGGTTATTACTTTGAGGATAAGAGGTGATGTTTAATTGTTTTATGACTTTTTCTTTCTGACTGTCCAAAACGGCAAGAACGTTTTTGGTTACATTGTAGAAACCTTTAGGAATTTGATTTCAATGCATGCTAGTTATGAAGTATGCAAATTTTTTTTTATAACGTGGTTTACACGTGGTTAGAATGCTAGTATACGTAAGGTGTAAGAGCGAATGAATGAAGTAACCATGAATGAAGTAAAATGAGAAAAATGACAGATCTTTCACAATTTGAAAAGTTCTTATTGTTGGTGCCCGTTTAGCAGAGGCCTCGATTAAGACAGCAAATCTCACTGTGTTTTCAAAAGCAACCATATCAAAGGCCAGAAGCTACAGTCTTTTTACAGAAGACGTAACTGCGGTAGAGTGATCGGCGGTGTCTCCGACGAATTGTACGGCAGAACAGAGACTCTACCGGGCTTCAACTGTCACAATGAATAGGTGCATAATTTCAATGAATTCCAATTTTTTAACACAGGTCACTTCATCAACACACACACACTGATTCCATTGTGTGGAATTGATGTCCATATTTTTCATAGGTCATCTCTCGCATCTTATCTGTTGGCTCATTCTTAATGGGGTCATTAGTTGTGGTTTAAGGCAACACCCATTAATATTATAACCACTGTGTATGTGAATGTTTTTAATAATATTAAGAATTTTACAACTTTTTTTTTATTTAACACAGATATATCAGTGATTCATTTATTATTGTCCACTGTATTTGTTTGTCTGCTGCAGAAATTCTTAAGTTAAATATTTTAAAATTAATGCTGTTATTTATTGTGACATATTTTCAGAATTTTGATCATGAAAGTGCTCTTCATTCTGCTGCACAGTATGGTCACACTGAAATTGTTAAACTTCTCCTTGAGGTAAATATAGATATTTACTCCGTTATTTTATTTATTTTTACTAATTTATATATGTGTGTATGTATATATGCATATTTGTGTATATCATTGTATTATCTGGCTGTGCCAAAACAAGTATATTTAGAGCAAAGTGTCAGAAAAATACAATCTGAGCAGATGTCCTTGGTTTGGCACTCAACAAAGCAATTAATTCATCAGCTAAGTGTACACTTTCATCTAAAATCTCTACGTTTATACTTCGATTTAAAATGTAATTTGAGATGACATAAGATGCTGGAACGACATTTCCTGAGTTTTCTTTATTCTTTAAGTTAAAACTGACTTTTTACCATTATCTGATGCCCTGTTTCATGAATGTGCTAAGGAGGAAATTAAAATGTAAAATATCGCTCTCACGTGGATTCCTACAGTTAGTTCTTTTGCTCAAATAAATCAATCTGAAAAACACTTGTTTATGCTTGTGGTTGTGATTTCCATAGTTAAGGCGATAATAAGTATATGACCTTTCATATTATTTTTGACAATTAGCGTGATACACATTTTAAAACTGTTTCAAATTATTTGCTATATTGTTAATTTAAAAAATAAATTAATGGATATTAAACAATCACATTATAATGTGATATTTTAGGCTGTATTTGAGGAACAAATCTGTAGCCTTGTTACATCACAAGCCAAACATAACAGCCAAGGAGCCACAATTTGGTTCTGCAGAGTCCATAAATTAAATGAAAGAAATTTATTGGAAAACTGATGTTCTGGGGAAGGGAGATAAAATTTTGGAGCTGGGCAGTTAGATAAAATAGAACAAGTTAAATAATAGTCCCACTTTTTGTAGTGAAGATTTAACCAGTAAATATGATAAAACAACAGTAACAGCTGCTGAAATTTATGAACCAATATATATATAGAAATAGTTTGCTTATTTTCATACTGTTATTTCAACTAATAATTAAAAATATAAATTGAAATATTTCAAGGAATGTCAGAAAGTGACAGAGTGAAAGCAGTCAGCAAAATAGTGCTGAATTTTTATCTTCTTATCTTATCACTATATCTTATCTCGTTCATTTGCTCTTTGGCAGCTGAGGACGATGGCTCAGTAAAACCATCGAAACTAGTCCTGTGAAAATTTGCAAATATAGCGCTGATTTTTGTTGTCTGACTTCTAAATTAATAGTGCAGAATTACTTAAGGAAGAAATATCACTTTTCAATTTATAGAAGAGTGCAATAAAATGGAACATAACAGGATGAGATATGCAGTAATAGTCAGTTCGTCTGTTATAATCAAAGATATTACCTGGATTATCTTTAAAACTATCTTCCAAAGATATGCCTTCTAAATTTCCAAAAAGTAGCTGTCTGTAAATGCAGTGACTAATATGCTAATGAGCTTATTATTTGCTTAAGTATTTGGGGCAACTATGAGTTTAGAGCAGATTTTCTGCCAGCTTTTCATGTGAAAAAAAAGCATGTCTTTTTATTCAAGTTGGAAAAAAAATTGCAGATCACAAACATCTCAACCAGTCAGCTGCCCAGTTTAGTTTATCATCATTATTGAAAACATGGCAAGCTAACAATAAAAATCAATTTTCCATTGCATGGTCAGCATTGTAATGAAATGCAGTGAATACCATGTGACAAAAGAGAAACTGAATCAAAATGTTGCTTGTTCGAAAGTCTTTTGATGTGTGATAAGGGCTGCTTAATAACTCCTTGTATTCAGTTCATGAGTCAGTAGCAGTTCTGCAGATTTCTAGAAAATTTCAGGTCTCCATTTTACATTGTCACTTCAACCAAATCATAAAGTTTTTAATAACTTTAAAATGTAGCCAGTGTAACATAATGTTTTCAAATTTCCATCACTTAATTTAAACTGTTTAATGTTGAAGGTGTTAAAAATCCAGACTAATAATGCTTGTATATTCTGATTTGTACATGTCATTTCTTTTTAACTCCTGCCCATATTATATTAATAACATGGTTAACTTTAAGAAGGAATTTGAACAACTTTTGGCAGCTATAAAAAGCGAAATACTTCTTATATCTTTGTAGGGTTTTCTTTAATTAATTAACATTTCATTCAAATTTTTGTTATTGTTCAAAACTCCTAAACTTCCTCTCGCATTTTCCTGCCAGAATGTAAATTTGAAGTGAAGTGAAGTGAGTATTTAAATGAGTGAATCTCTGAGTTTATTCAGAGTGTGTTTTCGTCCTTTCATTGTTTATTTCACTGTTACGCTAGTACGCCCCTTGGCCATTTCGAATAATTGTAATGCCTGTTAGATTTTGTTGAGTCAACATAAGTTAGCCGTAACTTAACGTACTAATCCAGCACTATTCTATTTAGATCTACACCCTTAGACCCCCCCAAAAAAAACCCCTACGCACCGAGAAGATATAAAGCAAATTGATATGCATACAGATTTCGACGGAAAATGCAAAATTTCACATTTTGGCTGCCAATGAATGAACGGTTGTCGCTACAGCGCATCTGATCTGCGCAACTGGCAGGATATTTCAGAGGAGAAATTACGATTTCAGGTCATTAATTCTTCACGAATTTCATTTCGTGTACCCTGGTCGACAGTAACAATGCCTCGCATACAGGTGCGCGAACGATGTGCGCAGATGTCAGAATTTGAATGAGGTCGTGTAGTTGGACTCAAAGAAGCTAGTTGATCTTATCGGCGAATAGCTCGACATTTGAGCAGGAACGATGGCACTATTAGACGAAGTTGGCAGGAATGGGTGAACCATGGCCGCACACAACGTCAAGAAGGAAGCGGTAGGCCTAGAGAAACGACAGAACGTGAAGACCGAGCAATCGTCGGAGCGGCACTCACAGTCCCAGATGCATCATTATCATCGATTGTACGTGCAACTACTGCTTCAGTGACCGCAAGGACCATTCATAGACGGCTCACAGAAAGGGGGCTCAGATCACAGCGCCCCTTGCACCGACTACCATTGACCTCTGTACAACGTCAAGCCCGTTTGCAGTGGTGTCGGGCTCATTCGCACTGGAATGTCACTGACTGGAGTACATTAGTCTTCAGTGATGAGCCCCGATGACCAGCGAAGGCGAGTCTGGAGACGCCCCAGACAGCGGTGTGATACCAACCTGACTGTCTTCCGGCAGACAGGCCGACAACCAGGAGTGATGGTCTGGGGTGCCATTTCATTTCATAGTAGGACTCCTTTGGTTGTCATCCGTCGGAACCCTACAGCACAGCGGTACGTCGGCGAAGTTCTAAGTGTTGCCCTTGATGTCACGCCATTCTGGGCTTCCATTTCAGCAAGATAATGCCCGCCGTCACACTGCACATGTTTCTACTGCTTGCCTTAGTGCTTGCCGAACATAACCTTAGCCAGCAAGGTCGCCGGATCTCTCTCCTATTGAGCACGTTTGGAGCACTATGGGCAGGGCCCTCCAACCAGCTCGGAATGTTGACGATCTAACGCGCCAGTTGGACAGAATTTGGCACGATATCCCTCAGAAGGACATCCGCAACCTCTATCAATCGATACCAAACCGAATAACTGCTTGCATAAGGGCTAGAGGTGGACAAACGCGTTACTAACTTTTTCACTTTGTTAAGCTCTATCACTTCAATATATCATCCAATTTTTCTCAAACTGTAATCATTTGTTTTTCTGTACATGTACATCATTTCTACCGATTTTCGTCCCATTCGGGTATTTCCTTCTTGGTGAGTCTTCTTCTTTTTTTTTTTTTTTTTTTTTTTTTTTTTGTCTAAGAGTATTGGGTGTTAACAACACAATTTGCATAAACAAGTTAAAGCATTTAATTCTGGCCGGAGTAGAAAATAAGAAGTGATAGTACAGTTTTAAAATAAAATAAACGTTAGTAAGCTTAGGATCCTTACATATTTTCCGCCAGAGTTAATTAGTTTGAAACTGAGGTCTAAACGACCTTGTTGAAAACTTTTAGCTCTAGATTCTAAATCTAACGCGAGACCAATCATTTACAAACACTCCTCACTAAAAACTATAATCTAGAAATTAAAATGTCGTTTTTACATGATCAATTCCTTGGACAATTACTTTTCATCTGTACTGCATCCAGTGGCGTAGCAAGAATAACTGGCGCCCTGGGCAAAATACTTTTTCGGCGCCCCCCACCCAAAAAAAACTTTCAGTATATAATGTATAGAATATATTCGTAATAAGAAACTAATGCAAATAATAAGAAATGCTGAATCTGCCATAAAATACTCAAAAATATATTAAGAATAGTCACTACCTAACTACACTAGCCTTGGATTCGGAAATGCATCTGTGTCGGCGAAAAAAATCAAACATACGGTAATCTAGAATTAGTTAAAAAAGTGTTATTTATTTTACATATTTACATAAGCGTTTTTAAAAAGTACAATTTTTAAACAACTAAAAGTTTATTATACATTATAGATAAATAGATATGTGGCAACTTGCCTACTACAACTCAACTCTGCCAGTCTCGTAACCCATAGCAACCAAAAACAATAATATTTATTCTATTCAGTTGTTATAATTATTTAACGATCTGTCTCAAAAAATTGTACTACCATAATTGGTGACTCGTATTTATTACGAATAGCAACCTTCAATGTTGCACGAATATGGAGTTTATATGTCAAAATTCTGAGCACCAGTAAGTTATTCAGTGTGATGAGATGCAAGTAAGACATTTCACCTGTGATTTCAAGCGTTGTGCCGCATTTCGGTGAGTCAACATATTTCTGTCATAATTTCAGCGGATATATGTATCGTCTGCTACATTTGAGCTGCCAATTTCTCTGATTTCAAGTACCAAGAAACTGTCACTATATACATATTGATTATTTTTCTATACATATTATTACTGTGCGTATTTGATTAGTCTAAATTGGTTGACAACGATGCTGCTTCACAATTGGCGCGAGTGGCAGTTAAGCCACCACCTTTTTGTCGCCGAGAACCTCATCGTTATGGTTCATTCAATTGGATGCGCAG